TCGCCCCTCGGGGTATCTGAGGCAGGCTTGAAACACAAGAGTCAGGGTGGCTTCTGGGTAATACCAGATGGCTAGGCCTCAGACTGACGAAGCCTCTTGGACGAGGGGCGAAACGTTTCTTTTTAACAAAAAAACGAAGTCCAGATGACATGATTCAACCTTTTTTGTTGTTATATACCTGGATGACTGAGAAAACAAACTTTGTGTCTTTAGCATAGCATTTTTCACACAAAGCTTTAAAAAAAAAAATCAGTAAACAAGTTCTCAGATTCTTTTTGCAGAGAAAAATAATTTTTTACACAAAGGCACGGGTTTCAACCATGAATTTTGGAGCTTCGACAAGACGAAGGTTTTCACCCGAGTTTGGCCTGTTAGCTTAGCTCGTAGCTTAGCTTCTCAGCTTAGCTGCTCCAAGAGACACGAAGAAACGATAAAGCTGACAAATGAAAATGAGTTTGATCATTTTAATTTATCATGCGATTAATTGATTTATTGTTTATTGTGATAGGCCTAGTTGCTGATATGTGCATGCAGTAATCATAACACACAGCATTCTGGTTAGACCATGATTAGCAGCAAACCGAAAATTCAAGCAGCAAACCACCTTAAAGTTTAGATTGGCTAAAAACAAAGACGCTTGTGCAAACAAACGTGCTTTATATGTGTCCACATAGTCTTGAATGCACTATCATTTAAAAATATGATATTGCGTAAAGTTAGTCATGAAGACAGTTGTCTAAGGAGCGAGCTGGGCAGTGTTTATGTTGTTGTCGCTGCAGAATAGAAACTGTGATAAAAATGAGGAGAGATGTGGTGCGTCAAGAAGCCTGGAATAAACTCAAGGACAAGAATAGAAAAGGGCACTCCCTAAACTGTCCTCAACCACATAAAGACAGTTCAAATACCTGATTATATTTTTACTCTGGTTTCTCCTTCCACAGTTCCCCATAAGTAAATACAGCCCTGCTTCCTGGGGCATTCTTACAATACACTTTGCTGAGTTTATTTGCAGGGCGAGGGCTTAGATTAGAACCAAGGTAACGGCCAGTTCACCCTCAGGGGCACAGACACTGTCGCTTCCTGTTTATTTTTGCGACATCCTTTTTTGACAGACAATGAACTGTGACACAGCCACGTCTTATTTATCCTGTAACTAGAACTTAACTGAGCTTGGTTGTAATTTAACATGCGCTCACTCTGTTTATCTTGGAGCTAGGTAATTATATGCAGACACTAGACAGTGTATTTTGGCTGAGGTTTCACGTGATCTCTAATTAGGATGGATAAACAAAAAAAGTAGAAGGAGAATCAAAAAGAAGACATGAAATCCCCAAAATTCTGCTCAAGACAATCTGATGAAATGAGATGAACATAATCGGGTCAAAGAAGATGTGGAAAAACTAAAAATGTATTCCTTCAAACAACACTAAACTAAAAGAAATTCACATAAACAAAGCTCCACCACTTAAAACACCCCCCTAGCTTGAATCACAAGTATATGTTAAATTATTTAAATCTCAAACTTGCATCTCAAATGTTGTCACGGCTTTGTTATCACGCCCCAGTCAGTCTTGTGTTTAGATGAACCGGGGATCATTCTTTTTTCTTTTGAGATAATACGATTATTTTGTAGCCTTTGAAGTTGCTGGCGTTTTTTCCCTAAAATGACTCAAACCTTATCAGCCCACATTCAGCATCACCTCTCATTTCCGACTGATGTCTTTGAAAAATGTATTTTAACCTGAGCTGATGCTGGGTGGGGCAGGTGTCCCCCCCCACACACTTCTTATTTTACTATGTTGTTGTAGAATTTAACTTTGGGGGGAGTGGTGGCACAGAGGTTAGAGAAGGTGGGCCTGTGCTCGGAAGATTGCCGGTTCAAGCCCCAGTACCGACAACATCAAAAATGTGGGCAGGGGTAGGTGAAGCACCCACACCTGCCCCCACCCTCATTCGTCCCACTCTGGGCCCTTGAGCAAGGCCCTTAACCCCCACCATCTGCTCCTTCAGGTGTTCTAGATAGCAGCTCTCTGCTCCACACAGAGGGCTGTGGTAGCTCGGTGGTCTGTGTTTGCGTCAGGAAGGGCATCTGGCTTAAAAAAACAAACTGCCAAGTCTTCGTGCGACTTAGTTCGCTGTGGCGACCCCTGAAGAAGGGAGCAGCTGAAAAAAAAAGTTGTAAAATTTAACTTTAATCGGTCCACTAAAGTTGGTTTAAGTGGTAATAAAGAAAAACAACATTTTATCATCATGTTTTACATTGCATCTGTACTTCTTGTTTCTTTTTGTCTGGAAATGCTCAGGTTCAACTCCCGTCTCTTTAAGAACCACAAAATCAAAAGTGCAGTCAGTTCTGATTGGTCAGCTCAGCTGTTTAAAAATGATACATTAACTTCTTGACAATTTAGCATACATAAAAGAAAATGTGTTTCTTGTCATTACATAGAGGAAGAAAAAGCAAGGGCTGTAGATCAGGGGTCTGCAACCTGCGGCTGTGGAGCCACATGCAGCTCTTTGGACCCTCGGCAGCGGCTCTGTCAAGCTTTGACCAAAACTAACATAAAACTGAATTTTATAGGATGTTATACCCTCAACAAAAACAGTTTTCCTGTCATTTATTTTGCAAATACCGGTATGTGGATACTAGTACTAATATACAGTGTAAATTATACTCATTTTAACTTTGTGCTTTATTTCTTCAAAGTAGGATACTCAGTTTCTCCACAATTAACAAAAAAAACAAAAAAACACATAATGGCAAAATATCTTTTTTGTTTCTTTACAAGAATCCAGTCTTCTGCGATATACTTGCGACCTGGATATGGCACCAGTGACCCCGTGCAACCCAAAAAGGAAGAAGCGAGTAAAGAAAATGGATGGATGGAATTCAGTCTTTTCTTTTGTCTCAAAATGTACAAATGTCAATAAATGTTAACAATCATTAGATGTTTTTAGTTTTATAATTTCATGCCTACTGGCCAGAAAAGCCCCCTCTAGCAAACTTAAAGTGGCCCATGGGCCACCAGTTGATAATGACAATTGTAGCAGGTTTTGCCGCTCTGGACACGTTTAATTTAGTGAACGAAAGGACAGAAATAGCTCTTTTGATTGTAAAAGTTGCAGACCTCTGATCTAGATCAAGGATTTTATTAATCTTTTTTTTTGTTGTTGTTGGAGATAATGCCCCTTCAGTGTAAATTTTTTTTTTTTTTTACAGTCTGAGACTGGACAGCTTCTGCAAATATAAAGCAGTTGAACCCAATCAAAATTCAGATTGTATTTATTTATATATATTTTTTAATAAAATTGTTAGTTTGGTAGCAAACATAAACACTTCTGTTTATAATACTAGAGAAGTGGGCATCATCTTCTGGCATTTTGCAAAACGTACCACAATTTTTAAATTTTCATCTGCTTGTGGAAGCTGTTTGTCAGTATGTCAGACAAAAAAAGAAAACTAAAATAAAAATGATTAATTTTGAGAGCAATTCAAACATAATGTCAAGTTGTATGCTCCAAATGGAAAAACATATTTATTTTTTTCTTGATGGTAATTAGAAATAGACCAAAATTACCAATCTTAGTCTTAATTGGCCTATCTTGGCCATTTTTAAAAATCAGCAGTCGACCTTACATAATGAGTCAGTTATGAAGTAGGAAAACGAAGAAGCAGCAGCAGCTGCCACAACCAGCTATTGTAGACTGAAAATCTAATATCATCTTTAATATCTACAGTGTTTCACATGTAAAGGTTTTAGTGGAAAACTGAAGAACACAAATGAAATAATTTAACTCAAATATTTCTCATTGTGCCTCTCTAGAGAGAGCAGTTCAGGAGATGAAATCCCACAAACTTTACAAATGTTCTTAGACAGTAAATTACAGAGACCTCCACTAGTGACATCTGCTAAAGACCACCAGGCTTCTGCATAGTTTTCTGTGTACATCATCAGATTCCATCGTGATTTCAGGGAAATCCCTTCACTTCCATGAGCTGACGGCTGAGGTGGGGTCAGAGCTGTCGCAGCAACTGAAATACGACACAGCAGCATCATGACTTTTGCTTTCAGAGGATAGTGACTCACATAAACACAAGCTTTTTCCACACAGCATGAGCCAAGATGGCACTGATGCTGCTTAGTTTTTGTTGTTGCAAGTCTTCAACATAACCTATATCACCTCCTATGTATATATTTTCTTCAGCCGTCTACTTCATGTAATGCACGTTTGCCACTGGGGTAATTGGCATACTTTTCTGTTTTTGTCAAACGAGCATGTTGCAACAAAACCCAGCAGTAATCTGTGTTACCAGCTGCTCACCAAAACACACAAGGCTCCTGTTGTTAGGCAGATGAGCTCATAGAGGTCTGGAAAAAGGGATTAAAGTTTTGACACTATAAACTTTGCAGTCCCTAGAGGTTTTGTGTGTGATTCATCACGACTGTTCCACGAACCATCTGGACGTGAAGCTCGTGGTCTTCTTGCAGCTGGCTGATGGTGAATTTGAAGTAGAGCCTGTTAGATAACAAAAAGATAAATCGGACCTCCTGTGGGAAAATGAGTAAACATGAGGAAGTTTGATGATTCATTGTGGAGGGGAAATTGTTTACATGCTATGTAGTGCTCACGCTGTAGTTGAACTGTTTCTGTGTGACTCTGACCTTTAATAATGCTCTCTTCCTGTAGGTTTCATGCTGCTATGACCAAGAGAAGCCGTTTCAGTGCGTTGTAGCTGTTTGGGATGACTGAAGTATTACCGTACCTCAGTAAGAAGAAGGGAAAAGCAAACAAGTGTTGCTGGGAGGACGGAAAACATCTGCTTTGAGAGGATAAGATCAACAGTCCATCTGGATCCACACAGTGAACCTGTCTGACCTTTCTGGTAGAAGGAAGAGGAATTTAAACTCCCCCAAAGCAGTGCTCTATCACTGGAAACATTTAAAGTGCTTCAACGAATAATTGAATTATACTTTTACACTGGTGTTCTCCGAGCCAACGCCATGTGTCACGTTATTGTAACGTGCCGCTCCATGATGTGGACTCTGTTCAGCATTGTGGTGGCCTTTGTGGAGCTCATCGCCTTCATGAGTCCTGATTGGCTGCTGGGTTTTCCTCGGTCGGACCCCAGTGGGAGCAGCGTGGAAGTGAACCTGCTGGAGTACCGACCGTCTCTTGGCCTCTACAGCCGCTGTCTCCGTATCGACTCCCGAGGTGTGGGGGTCAGCTGCGGACCTTATGCTGGGACTTTCGGAGAAGTGGCCAGCGGCTTCTGGCAGGCTGCCATGTTGTTTCTGGCAGCCGGGATATTAGTGCTCGGGTGTGTGGCCTGCATCTCCATCTTCAGTCTGTGTTTCCAGAGCATCAAAAAGAAGAGCATATTCAACATCTGTGGGCTGCTTCAAGCGATTGCAGGTGAGGCAGTAATCTTTGTGGTCACACATAGCTGTTTGTTTGTGGTCTTATATTCAGATATTCCACACAAACTGGACTTTTAGGGAGGCTGGTTTCCTTTAAGATTATACATTTTTTAATGTTCATTTATATTCAGAAGTTGAAAATACAATAATGTTAAATATAATGGCTCTCTTTGAGATTTGAAGCCACAAGATTTATGTTTTATGGGAGCTGCTATGTTGTAATTTTGGAACCAGAGTCTGTGCACTAAAGACATGGGACTTAAGCCCCGCCTTCTCTCCCAAAAACATAGAATCCTAGACTCAGACATAAAATAACTGATTATAACGAAATGTATTAGAAAAAAGGAACAGCTGAACATGCAGTAGCAAGATAATAACTTTTTGAATAAACAAGTCAACACCTGAAAAAGGTGAATGTTTTATTTTTTGACAAGGGTAATGTCCTATTTGCAAATGTAAATGAATTTGAACTCACTGGAACTTTTGTCTCACTGCACATTGTTAAAAACTCAATTAATAAGAATGTCCAGTGAAAATAAAATATATAGAAATACACATATTTTGCTGGTTAATTCGTTGCATTTTGTTTGTTAATGGTATTTTTACACACATACATTTCACCTCTGCATTTAACTGATCTCTAAGATGATAGTCTTACATCTTTCTTACATAAGGCGCACCGGATTATAAGGCACATTAAGTGAAACAAAACAGTCAGATAAGTCAAACTTTATTAAACTCATTCACAATAACTGCATAAAATCGGTTTGAGGTTAGTAAGCACAACCAGAATTAATACATAAGACTCACTGTCGATTTTTGAGAAAATGAAAGGATTTTAAGTGCGCCTTATAGTCTGAAAAATATGGTACAGAAGTGATGTGTACACAACACAGACTTTCTGCAGTGGACAGGTAGGTGCTGCCTTGCTTTTGAGCAAGGCCTCAGTGTCACAACTGCAACACAACTATCATCCATACCATGTTTTCATAATAAAATACTTCCTCACAGTTTTTATACAGTTCAAGTACCACAGGGATTGAAGTTTTTAGTTAAGAAACAACACACAAAAAAACATATATACTGTTTTACAATGATAGTTTATTATAGAAGTTAATGTAAAGACCACTTAAACCTTTTAAAACTTGTCAAAACAAAATTGAATAAAATGAATTAAACTTGAAGTGTAAAAAAAGAACCATTAAATCTTTCTTTAAAACATCATTCCTGCACCCAGTCAATAAAAAAACACCTCAGAAACATGTTCGTCATGTAGTCATTCCTTGTTACCTCAAAATGCTTCTTTGTGTGCAAACATTTAAACTCCTTGGCTTGAATAGTGAACTCAAAAAAAAAAAAAAAGTTTTGTTTTAAACTGTTTAGTTACATTAAAAATAGAGCAATCCATGGACATAATGAGCTTATAAAGTAGAGAACTGTGACATTAAAACCAAGGCCGTGCGTGCACATTGCTGAGCATGACCCGAGGGGAATTTCACTGTTATGACTTGACTTTTCAAGCTGACAACATCTACACTGTACTGCTCAGAATGGAATTTTATTTATTTCTTTCTTTATACTTGCTGTTTTTCTTGACAGTTTGCATTTCTTCAACAATCAGCTGCCATGAGTCTGTTGAGTGGCACTTTATTTGGTAGTTGCTGTAGCAAATAAGAGAGTCGAGGTGAATTTGTTCCTCTGCCCACTTCACAAATCAAACTCCTGTCAGTTGTAGAATAGATGTTATCTGAACCAGAGTTGAGTCAGCGCTTGCCATCTGTACTGTGATTCATTGTTATGTAGAGATGTTTACTAAAGTGATAGTCTCACTATCTGCTCTCCCTCCAGGGCTGTTGTTAATGGTGGGCCTGATGCTGTACCCCGCAGGCTGGGGCTCGGACAAGGTGATCAGCTACTGTGGCCCTGAGGCCTCGCCCTTCAGGCCCGCTCAGTGCTCCCTCGGCTGGGCGTTCTACGCAGCTATAGGAGGTACGCTGGCAACCTTCCTGTGTTCTGTCTTGTCTGCACAAGCTGAGATTGCCACATCCAGCGATAAGGTTCAGGAGGAAATCGAGGAGGGGAAAAATCTTATCTGCCTGTTCTGAGTCTCAAGAAACCTGAAGAGCAGGAAATCACCTTTAGTGGTGCTTTTTGGATTTGCTCACATGGACCTCTCAGTGGAAGAAGCACAAAGAGGAGGATTTAAAAAAAAAATGTCTGCATAAATGATTGTTGGAAAAGAAAATCTCTGGGTTTAACCACTTTTTTTTTATTTTTTGCCTCCTTCTTTGTTGCCCTGTCAGTCTCTGATTCAGCAACAGTTTTTTTTTTTTGTAAAGGTTTATTTTTCTAGAACGTTTCAGCTTAAATCACAGTATTGAAAAGCAGATTTAATAAAGTAATTGATTTCTAAACATTGTCATGGACAGGACACACTGCCAGTAAAATGGTCTGCAGGTCTGAGATAATGTGATGTTCAGTTTTATTGTTCACCTGCAAACCAACAAAAACAAGCACTTTTGAAACTTTGAAACAACCAACAACTGCTCTCCATGTGTAATTAAATCTTAACTGCTAAAGTTTTTGAATGTCCAGTGGCTCAAATTATGCTGCACAATAGGACAGCAAGCCCTTTTAGCAGAGTTTTAAAGTGCACCTCTTTCCAAAACCATTCCTCCTGTTAAATGGGTCGTGGGAGCATCACAGCTTAAAAACTGTCAGCGTCTGCACAACAGTTGCCAGATGGACTGTTTGAACTTTCTTGCTCATATGAGATAATTTTTCTTTTCCACTGATGGATCAATTTTTGATACATGCAGAAACTTCTTACTTTTGCCACCTCTGTGTTTTTGATACATTTCATAGACCAGGTGAAGTGAACCTCTCTTTCATGGTACATTTGTAGAGTTCCCATTTCTAATTAACCCCTCATATTGCATTTTGCACTTGGTCTGTCACTCATTTTGTAATGCTGCATTCTTTGTGATTTTTCTTTCTTTAAGTCATGCTTTAGCCACTGTAAAGGCCCAAGCAATGCTGTGTTTTTACTCATTGTAAATAAAATGTGCAATATTTCTTGTAGTGGTTTGCTAAGTTTGGGTAGAATGAAAGTTATAAAATTGATTTTTTTTTTAAGATAATTTCTGTGCTGCAACAGATTTTGTGCTGTTTATTTTGTTACATTAACAAAACAGTACCCACATCTGCAGCACGGCATTTGATACTACACAAGAGGCTGATCTGTGTTAATAGCTGTCTGTACTCAATAAAATTATGATGAAAGGGTGAAAGCTTGTGTTGTACTCAAAATTTATAATGAAACATTGACATCTAGAGACAGAAAATGGTCAACGCAGAAAGACCTGTGGAATTGCAGTACAGTAGATTCAAGTAGGTAAATGATGGAGTTTAACATCTTTTGAGCCAACCATTAGTTAAATATAAATTTTATACCAACGCAATGATCTGCAAATCTCATAAACACACAATTTAGTCACAACAAAACAGTAAACTTAACAAATGTTTGAACTAATACATTTTTATTTTTAGGGACACTAACTGGATTATCACACCTCAAAAAAAGTTTGCTACGGGGAACAAAATGCTGTGAAATAAGAGAAACAGAAACAGTTAAAGGATAATTTTTCCACTAATTACTTTTATTAGCAACAGGACTGAATACAAGGAACATTTTAGAGAGGCTGAACCTCACAGAAGTAAAGATGGGCAGAGGATCACCAGTATAAAAAAAAGTGTAAAAATAGTGGCACAACTTCAAAACAATTTTCCTAAGCAGGAAATAGGTACAACTTTGAATAACTCATCATCGTATCAACTCTGAATGGCTACATTAAAGCAGGACGGACTCTGTTCTGGACAACAAGCAATGGGCTCAGAGACACGTTCACAAACGGTTTGCTGTGCCATCTACAAGTGTTAGTTAAAGCTCTTTCTTACAAATAACAAACCAAAGTTTATTTAAATAGATTAAAGCAAAGTAGAAAACTGTTCTGTGGTCATACAAATGTAAATTAGAAATAATATTTGGAAACAATGAACGTTATATTTGTGCACAGAGAGGGACAGTTCAAAAGGCTGCCTCTCTGATGATATGGGGGTGCATTAGAACCTCTGGGAAAGCATTATCAATGCAAAAAGTATCCAGACGGCGTAATTTCTGGGGAACTGTCTAAATAAAGGTTGAATGAAAAAACCATTGGCTGTTTCAGCAAGACAATGCTAAACTTCATGCTGCATCCTTTACAACAGCATGGCTTCTTATGGAAGAGTGTGGGTGCTGGCCTGCCTGCAGTCCAGACCTCTGACCGGTAGAAAACGTTTTGTTCACCATGAAACAGAAACGCTGTGAATGAAAGACCCAGAACTGTTGAACATTTAGTCTTACATCAGATAAGAATGGGGTGTCGTTTCTATTCAAAACCTCCAGCAGCTGCTCTCCTCAGCTCCTAAACGTTAGTTTTTTTTTAATTTTTATATGTTGCCACCATAAAATTTAAATCAATTAAAGTATTCTTTGTTACAAGTTACATTTTGAAAAAGTAAAAGAAAGTCTTACAACGTTTTTCTAAAATTAAGCAGACACTGGTTTGTTTTAAATTTTTATTTCATGTTAATACCATAAATATACAAAACTGAAACTATTTCACATGCGACAAAAGCCAGACAGTAGTGCATTACTCTTTTTTGTTTTTTTTCCTTTTTACACGTGATTGATGAGGATTAAACTTTACAAAATATACAGGTGTCCTTTTTCCTCTTCATTTCTGTCCAATAACACTATCACAGGTCAAAAAAAACTGTCAGCAAACTTTAAAACACATTGTTCTGTACTTTAAATTAGCTCGCCTAAATACATCAAGAAAACTACCCACTGTGGCAAAGGCTTCATATAATGGTTTCAAATTATAGACACATGGAAATGATGTGGATTTATGCAGCAAAATGTTGGAATAAGGTAAAACAGAAGGAAGTGCATCACAACGCAAGATCTGAAAACAAATTTCTATGGACATTTGGTAGATTTCTCACAGCTTTTCAGGACATTAAATAACACCGGGGATTTGTTTTCTTTCTTCTTTTATACCGATCATCTACACATAACTTCATACAACAAGCATACATGTCGTAAGGCTAAGCTGCAAAGTCACTGAACACGTTTTGCAACCTAGCGCACAGATCAAAAACAAATTAATGCAATAAATTAAATAACACTATAAATAAAAACATGTTTTGCACAGACTTTACAGTAAAACAAAAAATGTGCAACGAGTTGAAAACAAACAAACAAACAAAAAATCAAAACAAATGCAATACTGTCATGGTTTTAATAATGATTATTAGTATTGAACGAGAGATCTTTAACTTTTAGCAGGTTTGGGGAGTATTTCATGTAATTACTGCAGGGCCAGCTATCATTCATCTGTCATGCACATCTTCAATCACATTCACTATGAGTAACAAAAAATAAATCCCACGCCCATATTTCACTTCAGCGACAGCAGTTTACACAACTTTAGTGTATTTAAAACAACACATCATTGTGATAAAACTGAATGAGCATCAAGTTGTTCATGTTTATTTTGGCTACAAGGTTTCTGATGTCAGTAATCCAATACCGACAGAGAAACATGGGTGGAAATGGACCGTTAGCCTTCATGGTTTACATGTAAACAGGACTCGAGACAAAATGAATCATGTCCAGGTCGTCTCCTGTGAGAAAAGGCAGCTCAGTTTTCTCCATGTATGAAGCGTGTCTTTCTTTTTTTAAACTCAAGGAGACCACGATCAAACAGCTCAGATGAATAGCAGCGTTAGTTTTTGATCACATGTGAACAAACAGTGAGATCCACAGATTCAGTAGTGTGTTAATGATAAAAATACAAAAAAAGAAAACAAAAAAAAATCTTCTAAACTTCTGCTTGAATGCACCAGGCCATTTCATTTGAAAGCTGAACCAACTTCAGGACATGCGATCACTTCTCACAGGAAAATTTGGGGAAAATAAGGCGGCAAAGGTTTCCCCCAAAACTGCCTGTGTAGCCTGATAAGTGGAGAGAATAAGGGTGCCCCAAACGTTTTATTTTTTTAGCTCGAGTGTGTTAAACATGCTTATTACCATCATGCTGAACCAGCCCAACCAAAGGACACAAAGCAGAAAGAGATATTCAACTGAGAAATATCTTGGGGCAGGTTCTTAAATAAGAACATACAAATTCCTATTTATAGGAAACTATTTTTTATGAATTATACCGTCTTGCTACAAAGCACACACATATTGGTTAAGGTATAGCATACCTTCAATGTCCAATTCCTGGATTACTAAAATAAATAATTAGATCAGTCACCTTTTATTTTAAGTGAAGCGAACATTCACACAGATTCAGCCATTTAAAAAAAAAAAAAAACTATGCGCACACCACCATACTCAGATTATAACTTCTCATGAGTCTACACTGAAGCTGTTCGGAGGTCATCACCATGGAAAAACACAAGGTACGCTAGAAGTCCTGCCTGATCTGAGACCACCTCAAGGGAACTGAAGGACAAGAGAAGCAAAGGTAAGTGTGAGGGACAACCCCCCCCCACACAAAACACACCTTGAATCACTGTGTATGTGACCTCTGACTGTAAAGCAGATATGTTGTCATGTCTTTACTAGAGCTTGACTTTAGATGAAGACAAACAACTCTGGTCACGTGTCTGTTCTTTTCCTTCATACTTCAGAAGAGCAATGTGCAGATGAAACATTCATGTGTGTGACCCATTTGATCTGAGAGCCAGCAGGACCAGAGTTGTGTGTCTCCATAATGTTGTCGTTGTGTGTGTATAAGTTTGACTGCGTCTCGTCTGCGTTTCCGTTTATGGCTGAGCTTTAAAGGCCCCACGAGCAGCATTTGATGCAGCATTAGCAGCTGCATTAGCAGCTGCGTTTTGAACGGTCTTGTTAGACATGACTCCGGTCGCAAACTCCTGCTGAGCCTTCTCAAAGCTAGCACCAGTGGTGCGGTACAGCGCGTGCACCTACAGCAAAACAGCACAAAGAGTCAAATTAGGTGGAGGTCATATACAAAGCTGTTAGCTCAGACATTTCTCTTCCTTTGTTTTTATCAGAATACTAGTTTTGTGATTAAACACCTTGCAATAATCCTTACACAACTGTTCACCCATAAATATTCAAACTGTTATACTGGTCTGTGCATTTCAGACTGGAATCGAGTGTCTGCATTACCTTTTTGAACATAATGAGCGAACCCACAGACAATGCAGTGAACAGAGCTGCAATTAGTAGCATGATGATGCCCACTGGGATACTGGTGTTCAGACCAGTTAGAGCTGCAATCCAGCCACTGGCAAAACAAAACAAATCAAAAAGCTACATGAGCAAACTTCATAACAGAGTCACAGATGGACAAACGCAGTGAAAGCACAAGACACTCACCATGTCCCCCAGCCGGTGATTCCAATAGTTTGAAGGACGTGAACCCCAAACTGACAAATGTAGATGAAGAAGAAGACAAAGAAGCGGAATGAACTGTCACTCCTGCAGCGAGGAGAAGAGGAGGATCGGGAGAAAAACTTTGAAATACATGTTCTACTAGAACATTAGGTCCTTCCTGCTTCCACTAGTTTGCTAAAGCCTAACTTTATTCATGTCTATGTAGCGTTAATGTAATGTTCTCAGACAGCAAAACCGTTGAGAATTAGCTGACTTGTTTTAACTAGTTTTATAATTGAACTTATCCATTGTATAAAATGACTGCCCACTTAGTAAGTCAGTATCTAACTTCCTGTTTCTGCTTACCTGAAAGCCCCATAAAGTGGTCTGTACCAGCAGACGAAAGAACACGGGGTGAACAGCAGAAACCAGAGCATAGCCAGGCCAAAATCCACACCCCGAGATGCATCCACAATGAACCACGCCAGGCAGCCAAACATGTTCACAAAGAGCGTGCCTGCATGGACTGGTATTCAAAGAATAAGAAAATACAATTTCAATATGAATTCATAAAAACGCAGTGTAATGTTAAGCCAAAATCGACTTTGATTTCTACTTTTCTTGTGGATTAATAAATAATACGTTGCACAGTATGCATTAGATAATTTAAATACAAAATTTGGGGACGGTTGAATAAGTCTGTAATTGCTGTTTTGTGGTGATTTAAACAGTCCACTCACACATCCAAATGTTGTACATAATCTTGACGGTCTTCTGGAACTCTATAGGAATGTCCACTGCAATATCGTGATAGAAACATGGGCCGACTGGGAACTTTTCTGGTAATGGAGGCCAGTTGTTCTTACGTCCTGTGTGAACAAAACAAGCAGTGAAATATGTTAAACGTTTTGATTTTGAGCTTTTGTTTCATGAAATTCGTCAAAGTCAAGTAACTGTGAAAGAATCTGGATATATGCAACAAAAACTGTAAAAGCGCTGAGTTTTACCTTATTTGTTTAAACCTCAAACTGTGTGATGACTATACAAAATATACAATACTATGAGCAGATAGATAAAGTAGTAAGAGAACTGAAAACAGTTTGACTTTTCATTTTAAAAACAAAACTTTAGGAGTCAAACCTACCCTTTTTATATAATTGAAAACTAACAACTATTACAGAGTTTTTACTGGTCTACAAATATTTCATGTCATTTGTCTCATAACATACTGGTTTTAAACATTTCTACTCAGTTCTTTAGTTAGTTTTTTTTAAGAGCTTTTTAATGTTAGCCTGCTGGGAGCTCTATTTTATTCCTTCTTTTTACCTTGTGTTATACAATTATTTCTTAATACACTGATTTCCTTCTTAATCCGGAATTACAGTTTTAAATCCAATAAAATAAGAACTCATAATGCCTTAAAATAATGAGAGACAACTAATCATGAAACATGCAGTCAGTAAAGTGTAACAGAGCTAACTAAGGGAGGGTTAATACACAAAAATGTTTAGCCTTTTAATAATATAACTAACCAAAAATCAACTAAAGCTTATAGAGATGAGTCATCTTTTCGTTAAAATGAAAAATATTGAGTACATAGTCATCAAAAATTAAGTATGTCAGCCATCAGATGGATCCTTATGTCAGGTAATTCTGGAGCAAATATTCAGCTAGGATGTGTTTCAATAAATCATTAAACACACAAAAGCATAACAACTACAATTTTGACTGAAATAGAATATCAAAACATTTATCTAAAGATAATAAGATCATAAAAAATGTACTCTATGAATCCTCCTGATTCCTGGTTTTATACAAATCATCTGCAAAAAGATCCTTGATAAAGCACAAAAGGTGAAAACACTTTTGGCCCAAAACAAACCGTACGATGATCCTCATGAATCAAAAGTTGTGTCATAAAATTACCAGTTGCCATACTTTCAGAAGTCCAGTTTTGACGAACAATAACATTCAGACTGTGAGGTGCGATTGATATATATATATTTATATTTATGTAACAGATTATGACTATAGGAAAAGCCTGACTGACCTGCCACTCCGTGGGATTGTAACTCCCTCTCTCGACGATCAAGCTCTGCAGCCTTCTTCTCCAACTCCTCCTGCCTTCTCAACAACTCAGCCTGAGCACGTGCCTGGTCCTGAGAGGAGACAAAAATTTCACAGCTTGTTACAATTGCCAAAGAAACCATTAAGTCATTTGAAATGTGAGCAAGCTTGGGTGCATTTTCTTGGAAAGGAGAAAAAAGGGGGTTAGTTGTATTCAGTTACTTTAAATCACACACATCTTTATTTAATAGAATTTAACTTGGCTCTAAAATGGAACTGCAAATTGAAAACTAGATGGTAAAAAGACATTAAGTGAATCCACATTAATTACCTCATTATTTTATTGCTGGGTCAACACAAAACAGGAGGGTACAAGAGTTAAAACCAAAAAAAAAAATGAACCAAAAGAAAAAAGTTTACCGGTAATTTTACCTGTGGTAAATCTATGTTTGCTTGTTTTTTTTGTAAAAAAAAATAAAAAATAAATAAACTGGGTGATATCTCAATAAAAAAAATTTAAGACCTGGAAAAGACCAAATAACTTTTATGTCCTGACACGTCAAATTTCAAAGAAAGAGGGTGCATTTGCTTTTAATATGACTAAATATGCCAGTATGGTAGGTTTTTTTTTTTTTAAAGAAATATATTATTGTCCAAAAACCTACAGTTCTAGTAAATATTTAGTTGTTTTAGCCTAGTGCAGACAAACAGCAGTTACAAATAGTTGTGACTAATTCCCCCATTATAAAGATATATTTTTAAGTATTACCTGAGTCTGGTGCTGTGAGTAAGCTGGAGGTTCTTCTGTTGGCTTCATGATGGCAGGCTGTGTGTTCTGGGAAGGTGCAGGAGTGGGTTTGGGGGCATTTCCCGGTGCTGCCTGCAAACCAGCATAGATTGTCTAAATTATTATCATTTATGAAACCAAATGATAAAACCAAACTGAAATTTGTGATTAGGCCACAGTCATTCTATTTAAGTTAAAGTCTGGGAAAGCAAAAACAGAATGGATAAAAGGAGGTCTGTCAGGATCAGAAACACACAAACGCATGCACACACTCATCACAGCACCGTTCTGGCATCTGTGAAAGGGTTATACTCCTCCAAACCACCAGGAGGAGCAGATCGTGTCACTTGGGTCACTGAAGGGTCCTACAGAGGAAAAATATCCAAACAAGAGTTAAAGCTACAACCACCATAAAACAAAAGCTTTTTAAATTGTATTTAAATAACTTCTAATATAGTTTTTATACAAAACAGTGCAAATATCTAATTAATTTACAAGTTCTAAAAGTGATTGTTAAAGTGCTTTCATCACTATGAGGTGGGACAGCAAACAATATTGGAAAAAAAAAAACTTTGGGATCTATGTTTAGACTAAAGTATTGATCCAAATTTAATATAATCACATCTTAGTACTTACATGAAATCTAGCTTTACACTATGCTCACTTACATGATAATCAATTGTATGCAGTAATAGTTTATTTTTGTTAATGAAACATAGTTTATAGACAAAATACACTAGAAAAGGTCATTCATAGCTTGAATTTTAGAGCAGATTTGAAGTCCCAGCATGTGTCTTAAGAACCAAGACTGTCCAGATGTTGTCTTCTGTGTCCTATTACTCTTAGAGACTTATTTTCAAGCAACAGTAGTCTCAAGATAATCTTGTTTATGCGTCATGTGTATGGAAATAACTCACAAGTTGTAGCAAACACGCTGCTGTGATGTTTGAATTAAGGTCTGCATCCCAGCGACTTTAGTAGCTAAGCAAGTTTGATATATATATAGTGCATAAATAATAGTACGTAAACAAAAATCACCCTTTTTAATCAAACGAGCAGCGTTAAGCAAATGTTTACAGTCATTGGCCAAAGCTAACGAATAGCTAATATTTGTTACAGCATTGAAATCAGACGTAACTAGACAAAAATATGTTACATAACCTCTTGTTAGTGTCCTTATAATATTAGTAGTCACGTCTAGTGTCAGTAATGTTGTAAACAGCTAATAAGAAAACCTCTGGATGGCAGTGAAGCTGTTAGCTAAGGCACTTAGCATGGATGCTAAGTAGTCAAGTTAGCTACCTGAAAAGGGTTGCTGAAATCCGGGTCTGCGAACGGATTGCTGTCAAAATCGGACATCGTCTTGCCTTTTAATAATAGTTTTCCTTCAGCAAAGATTCTCCAATTCTACAAGAAAGCTTCAGCCTTTTGATGTGACTGCCTGTTTTTGTTGTCTGCAGTCTTCTACGCCTCCTGCTGACGGAGACTAGCTTAGCCCGCTAGCCAGTAGCTTGAGTTGAAAATGGCAGGAGACTAGCGACAGCGTCACCGAGCTCCACAGACAGCATCACGTCTGGACAGGTACAACACATGCGAACGCTGGAAAATATCAACACAAATACACTCCTAGCGCTATTTATTCACTATACATTAACAATGGGTTTCTTCCATGTCAAAATGACATTCTTCGTAGTCAGGAAAAAAAATCCTAGTAGTTCAAAATTTTTGGGTGTATGGCAGGATGTTGTAACATTTATTCAAAATTACATCCAACTCTTCTTCAATTTTCTTATTTTGTTTCAATATTTGCATGCCATCTGGTCAAAATGAAATTCCACCTTGTAAAACTTCAAAATTAAATATGTATAAAATAACATTTTGGTTATCAAACTTACATTTCAAGGTTTTCTAAACTAAGATTTTTAAAAAAATAAAAGGTAAAGTTTGATGAATAAAAAAAGACCTTAACGTGTTTAAGTAACTGATTTAAATTTTATTGACTAACAGGAAACATATAGCAGAATATAACCTATATAGAGTCCATTTGTTTAGTGTCAAATAGAACATTTGTGTTCATTAAAATATTTTTCCCCCAATTTTTTTTAACATTTGAGATGTTTCAAATGTACATTTTTAGAACAAATACACTTTCAGGTCCTTATACAAGCAGATATTTTCTTTTTAGACGATTTTGAAATAAAGTTATTAGAAACTAACTTGTCAGATATATACAAAGTTAGTCATAATTTTCAATTGATTATTGATTATTTTTGATTTATGTTAAAGTGTCATCCTGAGTGCACAATAAAAATATATTTGTATAGCTACGTTGTTGCTTGTCATTTTTCCCAATCACTGATGTTTTAAATGGTCTTAAATAGCCAGGATACTTGTATTTTATTTTTTATTTTTTTTTACAAGTTAAATAGATTTTTTTGTGTGTGTGAAATTCAAAAATACTTGCGATATATCTGAAATTCTTAATAAATAAATAAATAAAGAAAGAAAGTTGCCATTGCAACTGTTAACTTTAAACACGTTATGCATGCAATTTATTTTTTGTTTTCTTTTGCATTTATCTTTTTTTTCCTAACAGAACTTATTGATCATATCCTGTACAATATTTATTTCTACAAGTTTCATGGAATCCATTAAAGGAATGAACAATAATTCTTCTAAAATACATTGAACTTTTGATTAAAGCTCCACTTTAACTTGTCATTTCCAAATATCTGTAATTGTTCAGTTGGGCTGAGATCTAAGTCCTGGTGCTCTCCCAGAAAATGACAAGCAAAAGAAAGAAAGAAACGCACATTTAAAAAAAAGTTTGAAAAGGGGAATATTTGTAAAAGCTATTGCTTTTTTTTATTAGGGTTGGAGTTAGGTTTAACAAATAATTAGATTATTTTCCCAGGACAAAATGTTACAGCATTCTCGTGTTTTCTTAGTAAACTGTAGCTTAACAGCAGTTTTCACCCAACAATCAATGTTATTGTGTTGATGATTGCATTCATGAGGACTGAGGTATATACAATTGTATTTACATCTATTTAGTTCTTAATATGTGAAAAATAACAGAAGAAGCAACCTGGACATTTCTTCTTTTACATTTATCTTTATGAAAATCATGAAAGCTCTTATAAGTTTTCTACAAAAGCATGAACATCATTTTATTGACCACAAATGGCCACTTGGGGGCGCTATGATCCAACAGGTCTCCTCACCTTATGTTGCAGAATCTTTCCTCATTTGCCATCAATTTATTTTCATTCAAACGAAGGGTGACCATGTGAAGAACATCAGATCAGTTGACAGCCTGTAAATGTGATTTAAGCATTTAGGCACCATTTACCCAGATTAAGTTTCAATTGAAGAACAATTGCTATTAGGTTGAAATCTTGCAGCATGTGGTAAACCATGGATGTAAAATTATCGCTTGACTCTGTTGGAATTCTGCTGCACATTTTCAAACAAAGACACATAACACCTTTAAATACAAGTAATGTGCTTTTTGTTAATGGGGAAATGTTCTCCTTTATACCTTGGTAATGTTTGTCTTTTCTAACCTATTTATTGTGCACGCATAATGTTTTGCTTTGATAGACTCTGGATGAACTCAAACTGTCCTTTTATTACAAATCACTGCAGTCCACAAACTAACTCTCTTTTACACACACGCACACACACGCACATGCAAAATGAACATCGGTTCCTTCCCTAATCTCGTATTAATGGACCCAATCACAGACTCTATGAATAATCAATGGCCAGTGGTCTGCAACCGCAGTGCTGAGACCTTGAGTGAAACTGAATTTTCCTAATAAGACACGTACGCACACACACCTTGAGTCCCTAATAAGCTCCGCACTGTGGGTTGAATATACGTCACATGGTTTGTTTGCTGCAGAATGTGAAAGATAAACATGCTATGTCAAGCTGTGCAATGTGTGCATGCACTGTATGGAAAGGAATAGTTGTGAAAACAGTGTCCTGCCTTCACTTGCCCGCTCACTCCTGCCTCTCTGCTTCTGCTTTCCTCAGATGACACCGTGTGGAAACAACCGCTTTGGTTAATAGCTGCTACATTAGTCTCTTAACCAGCTGGTCATGGCCATTTAGAAATATTCATTAGGTCGAGGACCAAAGTGGATAGCTGTGTTAGTTCACTCGCTGACTGAAAACGGACACAATAAAGGACGGGGAGAGCAGAAAAAGAGAGGTGGAGTGACAGAGTGGGAAAATAACAAGCAATTTACTGCAAGAAATGACAACCAAGTGTAAAAAGCCACAGATGCAATAATCATCATACTGCCCTGAATAAGAACCTTGTGCTTAATTAGATCTCATTAAGGTCTATGAGTGTTATTTTAGGGCGCTGAAAGGTTGGATGAGCAGCACTTGATATTATGGGTTATTAATGCTGCAACATCTGGTGTCATTCTGGCAATAGCCTGACAGTGCTTGAATAAGCTGGAAAATTGAGTATTCAACTGAGGCGATGATTGGATGGCAAAATATGGCATTTTTATGCAGCATTCTTGCATAAAATACAGATACAGTATATTGTATGGGTTTGTGTTCCTATATGGCTTAATATAAAGTGTGTGTTTGCTTGTGAGATTGTTTGCGCTGATGACCAGTCAGAACATATTACACACCGCGGAGGGAAGCAGCCCGCTGTAGCTGGAAAAGCAATTGATTCTCTATTTCCATATTAATGAGCAGATTTGTTAAGAGTCTGCAGGAGAGGAAGAAAATAACAGGGTCTTCATAGGGCACGACATTTATAAATAAAGCTGATGCAGAGAAAAATGGAAATTAAACCTTTTAGTTTAATAAATTTGAGGCGTCCGCAGCAAAGCGAGTGATTTGCATTTCCATTTGTGGCCAAATAATGAGAGTGCGGTGCCATGATGAGCCCGCTAGTGCTGCTTTTTGGGTCTCAGACAGTCAGACAATCACTCCAGCGTGCAGACCTTCACATCAATGTCATTAGCTCAGGCCTGTTACCTCTGCTACTTGACTTTCTAAGATTATTTAGTGAGCTAGAGATTCATATTGTCATTTTATAAAAGAAATAGGACTGCGCTTAAGTTTTCCCACTGTTTTAGTTCCAGCATTTTCTGCGTTTTGCCTTTTTCCTTAGATATTGAAGAGCTTTTATACATGTTGGTGTTGATTTTAAATTATTTTTCTGTCATTCGTTGTTCTAAAACAAACTATAAAACACGTGCGCGTGCACACACACGCACACGCAAACGCACACGCACACACACACACAAAGACTTCACTGATTGAATTTATTGGGGAATGGATGTTGACTAGACCACTCCAAGTAGGCTAGATTGTTGTTGTTCCCAGATTGACAGACAGACCCAGAGTGGCTGATTGAAAGTGCCTTTTAGCTTGCTCTCACTGTATATTTGATTTGGCAAAATGGAAGAGAGAGTCCAGTCTTTTCCCAGGATGCAAACACAAGTCCTTGTGTTTGTGTGGGAGTATGTTTGTGTATTTGGATGCGTTCTGTGCATGCTGACTGGAGGCTGTTTTAGTAAATGCTGCATAAAATGTACCCTTTCAGGTATTAATTGAATAATGCAGCACTCCTCTTGTCAGCCATGAAGTGGGCCACTTTTTCAGTGGCCCGGTCCTGCTTTCTTCGCCTGTGAATTGACTTGATTTATCTGTGTTGTTCCAGCCAATGGATGCCATTTGTTCCAAATATTTGACATAAACATGCAAAGAGCAGAGGCGTGCACTCATAAAACCAGCTCTTCGATTGTTGTTTTACAGCCCAAAGGAACCACAGTGAGAGGGTCGTGGGGGAGGGAGGGGGGCTCTAACCCTTTAAAATCGCAGGGAGCTCGTGCTGAGCCAACAGCATGTTAAAGCTCTCGTTTAACCAGCGATGTGGTGAAAAAGAACAACTACTGTCATAAAGAAGAAGTAAGAAAAGAGGGAAAGGGTTTGTGGAGGTGCAGATGAATTAGAGATGTGCAATGTCCTGCTAAATACGTGCACTTATTTCCCATGCCTTTAATGGGACACATCTCATTGGGCGCCTTATGTCTGCTTCCAAACTGTAAGAGATATCCAACTTCACACCTGCAGGAAATTCCCTGTTGTAACGACAGCAGCAGCAAATGGAGACCTTGCTTGGAAAGAATAAAACTGAAAGTTGCATTTGACTTGTGTCTTTGAAAAGAAAATGACATTAAACAGACTGCGATCAATCAGGATATCCTTTAATTCTATTCAAAGTGCATCTAAAGTGCGCTTGGTTTACGGTTTCAACTCGTTTGTGTGTGTTGCTGCACTGAGGTTCGATTTGCTGATTTAGCACCTCTTTCATTTGCGACACGGTAATATTTGCCAAATATACAAGCCATTTGTTTTTATTATCCTGGTTGAATATGTTTGTCTTGGAATATCAATAATCATAAACTAAGCCACATCTCTTTTTGCCTCTGCTTTTGTCGCGCCCTCTATGTTTCTATTGCACACT